ACTACACCAAGGGGTGGGGGGGGGGGAGCTTCGGGTTTGAGAGATGAAAACATCCACTAAGAGAAGAAAAACAATAAGAGAGTTGGATAGGTTTTTAAAAAAACAACCCCTCTGCTCTCTGCAAAATGTAAAACATCGGTGGAAACTTTAATGGGAATCATAAAAGCTATTTTAAAATGCATTTACACAGGAATTTTATAATTTATTTTAAAACCAGAGGCCCCTCCTGAAAGCGGATTGTGCGTACCCGGACTCCCCGTTTGCCTGGTTTACACAACATAATAAAAGCATTACTTTTAATCCCCCCTACACACTATGGAATATTCCAAAGTCTAGAAACTGACATGGTTAATACCAGGGACTTCGGCCAGCCTCGCCATCCCAACTATGCAGGCTGAGGGTTGTCTTGGTGGCCAGAGGACCCCGCTCAGCTTGACGGCGAACGCCTCCGGGTCCTTAAAGAGAAACCACACATTCTGTGCCAGTGTACTCCGGCAAATTGAGTTCAAATTTCTTCTGCACGTCGTAAGGGAGAAAGCGCCCGGCCACCAGGTGGTGCTTGCCCATGAATCGGGTGGCACACTGCTTGGGAGCAGCCAGTGAGACAAGAACGTCGGGACTGATCCCCTCGCTGCTGCCGGACTCCACGTCCCACCCTGAAGAAAGAAACAGGACAAGGATTCAACAATTGCCTGGCCGGATCAGACCAAAGGATCCCATCCAGTTCAGCATCCCTTCTTGGAGAAAGAAGAAGAAGAAGAAGAAGAAGAAGAAGAAGAAGAAGAAGAAGAAGAAGAAGAAGAAGAAGAAGAAGAAGAAGAAGAAGGAGGAGGAGGAGGAGGAGGAGGAGGAGGAGGAGGAGATTGGATTTATACCCCGCCCTTCACTACCCAAAGGAGTCTGGCTTACAAACTCCTTTCCCTTCCCCTCCCCACAACGGACACCCTGTAAGGTCAGGGTGGGGCTGAGAGCTCTCCTGAGAGCTGCCCTTGAGAGAACAGCTCTGAGAGAACTTGTGACTGACCCAAGGTCACACCAGCAGCTGCATGCAGAGGAGTTGGGAATCAGACTCGGTCCTCCCAGATTAGAGTCTGTGTACTCTTAACCACGACACCAAACTGGCTCGCTGAGGGACAAGAGAGGAGACCAAACGCTCCCCACCCACGCACCGCCATTGGGTCTCTGCCTGCTTTTAAGTGGCATGGAAACCCCACCAGAAAGCGACAGACTAGTGTTCACTGTTCCGCTGGCAACTGGCACAGAATGAGGGACAGCCAGTCAGAGACTGAAGAGGAGAGGTGCATCTTCTCTCCCCCACACACACCCCTCATTCGGTACCTTCCAGAAGACACAGAACCGTCTGGAAGGGACCCCGTTTTGCCAATGCCGGCAGGCAGTCAATATTTTTCTTGGGGGGAGATCTTATACATTTGGATCCGGGAGGCCAGCAACGGCCTGTTTGTTCTTCCGCAGAGCGCATTCCGATGCTTGATGTAGATACCGGCTGCCTCCCCGGCCAGACGCAGCAAAGCGGCTCAGAATATGACATCATGTCTCAGTTTGGGGGGAAAAAACGGATGCCTTTTTATAGGAAGACCCGCTTTGAAAAAAACTGCTGGAGACAGCTACTGTCCATGCCCAGGCAAGGAAACTCGGCTGGGGAGGGAAGGAGGGACAGGGGGAAAGTTATGCAATGAAATTCAGGTGTAGCTGGTTTCCAGCTTATGGAGAATGCTGGGGATTGGGGGGGGGGGACTTTCAATAGCAGGAAGCTTCACAGGAAACTGTGTAGCTTTTTCATTTTTCACTGGCAGAATTTTGTCACCCTTAATAGCTGCACGACAGCAGAGATTCAACAGGTAAAATCTTTCCTGGTCTATGCTGTGCCTATTGAATGTGCGGTTGTCTCAGCTATTAAAGGCACCAAGCCTCTGTTGACCTAACAGTGATAGGGGGTCTTGGCGTCTTTTAGAGGTCAGCCGCCCTGTTCCAGGTAGGTTTGCCAACCTGGCCTGGCATTCTCCCAGAATTATACCTGATGTCCAGGCTACAGAGATCAGTTCCCCTGGAGGAAACGGCAGAGCCGGGTTTGGTGGCAGAGCCGGGTTTGGTGTCATCGTTAAGTGTGCAGACACTAATCTGGGAGAACCGGGTTTGATTCCGCACTCCTCCACTTGCAGCTGCAGGATGACCTTGGGCCAGTCACAGTTCTCTCAGAGCTGTTCTGGAAAGAGCAGTTCTCTCAGAGCTCTCTCAGCCCCACCTACCTCACAGGGTGCCTGTTGTGGGGACGGGAAGGGAAAGGAGTTTGTAAGACGCTCTGAGACTTTGAGTGAGGGTGAGGTATAATCCAAACTCCTCCTCCTCCTCTTCTTCTTCTTCTGAGGTTGGAATAAATGGCGTCACGTGACGTCCCCACTGATTTCCCTCCCCTTTCCAAAGTTTACTGTCAAGAAAGGTAGTGGGAGAGATTATAATGGGAAGTGACCTAAAACCTCCAAGTGGTACAAGGGAGAGAGAAAGCAGGTGGGTCGAGATGGACATACCAGAGGGGACATCCAGGCTGACAAGGGGGACCCGGATTTGCTTGAGAGTAGCCAAGACGCTGATATATGGCTCTGCTACCTCAGCCGGGTTAGCCTCCACGCCCAGAACGGCATCGATCACCAGGTTGTAGGCATCGCTGATGAGCTGGACCTGGTAGAGTAGGAGAGAAGGACAGAGGAACCCGTGGTTGAACCTGATCCATGATCGTGACGTGCTCTCAAAGAATCCACATTCCACTGGCAGAACTGGAACCCCTTCCACTGAGGGTTGCCAACCTCCAGTTTGGCTAGGTAACTTAAGCACCGTGTATAATGATACTATATACCAGTGATGGCGAACCTTTTAGAGACCGAGTGCCCAAACTGCGACCCAAAACCCACTTATTTATCACAAAGGGCCGATACGGCAATTTAACCTGAATACTGAGGTTTTACTTTAGAAAAAACCACTCATACATTAACTTAAGATGATCCAAACGAAGTAAGGAAAGCAATCCCAAATGCTTTCATTTACTTAAAATTATTTGGCAGAGAATTCGACACTTTAATGATGGTCTGGGCCTGGCTGGGGCGATGGCACGCGTGTCTACAGAGAGGGCTCTGAGTGCCACCTCTGGCACCCGTGCCATAGGTGCGCCACCACTGCTATATACCATATTTATGAGATAGGATCACAATAAAGAATACTTAGACCTCCAAAATTGAGATGGTTTGTTATTCACGTGGGATAATGCATCATTACCAATGTATATAGTCTAATAACACAACGCCACAACAGCAAAACTCACCATTCAAACAGAATACACACAAAAGAAATGATTCAAATACAAGCCTAAAGTAGCAGTATTTCTTAAATCATGCACAAAAAAACTCAGAAGACATTGAATAAGCTGAGGCTTAATGAAGAACTTTTGACTACCCCAGGCCTCAGGGACGTCAAATTCGCCGAGACTAGGGCCAGGGCCTTTTCGGTGGCGGCTCCTACCTGGTGGAATGAACTCTCGGAGGAGATCCAGGCCCTGCGGGATCTTGCGCAGTTCCGCAGGGCCTGAAAGACGGAGCTCTTCCGCCAGGCTTTCGAGTAGGAGCTGCCGCCGCTACTGTTCCATCAATGCACCGTCACCAAAAATTGGCAGAGATACCATCAGGGTGCAAGCGGCCCCTGGGAAGAAGACTGGCTATCTGCCACTTTGGAACTTATGTTGTTGGTCTGGATCCACCCTACCGGAACCCATCTTGGAACTGGGAACATCAGAGCACCAGCAGTTTGTTATGTTTTTATCTTGTTTTAATTGTTTTCATTATGGCTTTAGCCCCAATTGTTAGCCGCCCTGAGCCTTAGGGGAGGGTGGGATATAAATCGGATTATAAATAAAATAAATAAAATAAATAATGTTGAGACTAACTGAAACGTGAAAGACTACAGGGACCGGTAAAAATCCCATTTCACAAATTCTTCCTGAGGAGGAGGAGGAGATTGGATTTATACCGCGCCCCTCACTATCCGAAAGAGTCTCAGAGTGGCTTACAATGTCCTTTCCCTTCCCTCCTCCACAACAGACACCCTGTGAGGTTGGTGGGGCTGAGAGAGCTCTTTCAAGGACTGCTCGTGAGAGAACAGCTCTGAAAGAACTTGTGACTGACCCAAGGTCACACCAGCAGCTGCATGTGGAGGAGTGGGGAATCAAACCCGGTGCTCCCAGTTTAGAGTCCGCGCTCCTAACCACTACACCAAACTGGTTCTCTGAAGGAAGTGACATCTTCAATTTAATAATGGAAATCTATTCTCTGCACTAGTTACTTAATAGTAACTATTCTCCCTGAGGAGAATCAAGCCAGCTGTGAATTCTTGTAGGTCGAGGACCACATACATAATTTTTGATTGGCAATTCCCTCACTCGTGAAATTATGTAAATTCTGTGAAACTGTTTGGAGTTGACATTTTCAGTGCTCTGTGCTATTATGTAACTAGTATGGAGAATAGATTTCCACTATTAAATTTAAGATGTCCGTTGCTGTAAGACCTGAGGAAGAATTTGTGAAAAGGGATTTTTACTGGTCCCCATAGTCTTTCAAGTTGCATTTCGTCTTAACGTACTTTGAAGTTCTTTGTCAAGCCTCAGCTTATTTCAGCATCTTGTGAGTTTCTCTACATGATTTAAGGAACACTGCTTGTACTTGAATCATCTCTTTTTTTGTACATTCTGTTTGAATGATGAGTTTTGCTGTTGCAGCATTGCATTATTACACGATCTACATTGTTAACAATGCATTATTGCATGTAAATAACAAACTATTTTAAGTTTGAAAGTCCAAGTATTCTTTATTTGTGATCATATCTCATAAATATATTATATAGTATCAGGAGTCATTTCGTAGAAAGAGAGGTGCAGGAGCTCATTAGCATAACTCATTAGCACAACTTATTTGCATATGCCACACCCCCTGACATCACCGGAAGTGTGTCAGAAGGCAACACCCACCGCTCAGGCTCCACTGGACTGTTTTGGATTGCTAGTTATTGAGGGGGGAGGAATGTGCAGATCTGCCCTCATAGAGGAGGGAGAGCTTGTACCTGAATAAAACCTAAAGGTGCCACTGGACTGTTTTGGACTGGGGGGGCGGGGGAGCTCTGCAACTTACCTGGCTGCTTCTTGCTCTGACTGAGGGCTGCTGGGAGCAGGGGGTGGGGCTTGTTGCATGTGCCCACCCCCTGGGCTCCTTACTGCCGGAGCTCCGCTCCTGTGCGCTCCTGCAGGAAATGACCCCTGTATAGTATCATTATACACAGTGCTTAAGTTACCTAGCTTAATCATTTACACCGTGGTCCTTGGATATTGTTAACCTCCAGTTTGGGCCTGGAGAAAATGGCCGCTCTGGAGGGTGGACACTATGGCATTATACCCTGCTGAGGTCCCTCCCCTCCCCCAAATCCTGCCTTCTCCCCAGGCTCCACCGCCAAAATCTCCAAGAATTTCCCAGTCCACTCCACACTGGACATGCCCCATAAACATCCTTAAATGCTTGACCCCATGGACATAGGGTTGCCAAGTCTAAATGTCTTACCGGCGGGGGAGCCTCACCGGGCTCCGGGAGCCGTCCAATGGTGCACGCGCGCCGCAAGCACGTAACTGGAAGTGACGCGCGACGTCCATCACGTTGAGGGCGTGGCCCCAATCGTCGGAGGGAAAACCATAGAGATTTCTGTCCGACGATCGGGGCCACGCCCCCCAACGTGATCGACAAGGTTACGTCACCGCTGGTGACGCAGCCACGCTGCGCTTCGGGGGGCGGAGTTCCCTCCGGGGCCCGATTCCGCGGTGGCAGAAATCGGGCCTCCAAAGCGGGGGGTTACCCGCCCCCCCGCCCCCACTTGGCAGCCCTACATGGACAAGAGCCCACTTTGGAAATTTTCTTGGAAGTAAGTCTCATTCATCATATAGAGTTGTCAACTCTGGGTTGGGAAATACCTGGAGATTTTGAGGGTGGAGCCTGTGGAGGGTGGGTTTTGGGGGAGGGCCTCAGCAGGGCATAATACCATAGAGTCCACGCTCCAGAGCGGCCATTTTCTCCAGGGGAATTGATCTTGGTCGTCAGGAGATTTGCAAGTGCTGCATGGAAGCTGGGCATGATATTCAGCAAAGATCCCCTGAAACTGCTCTGTTAACATTTGTTTCTTGTGGGAACCCTTTTATGGTCTGAATGTGTAAGAACCGAAGAGCCCCAAGACCGGCCCCTTTCTGGAGAGACCAGAAATAACCTTTTGCGGTGTACTTTTCGCTCTTTACGAATTATTAGATTCAGCGTTGTAACAAATAACACATTTATCTCGATGTGCCAAACTTCAGTTCTCGTTAACAGTCTGTTTTATGTATTGCGATGTTGTTATATAAAAACAGATTGTTAAAAAATGTCGTTCTCTCCCAGCTTTTCCATCCTCCATTTCATTCTGATCACACATTTTCATTTTGGAATCGGGGTTTTTTATTGCCCCGGGGGAGGGGGGGGGGGGGGAGCTTCTAATTACTGCTTTTCATCCAGTCGGAAAGTGACTGCTCGCTCGTTTTTTTAAAAAAAAAATTGCACAAATTACAATCATAAAGGGACAAATAAGTAATCAACTATTTTTTTTTTGAGAAAGAGGAAAGTAGTAATTAAGAAGGGAAAGTGTTAATTATAGCTTCTTTACCCCCTCAAACCCCAAGAAAAAGAAACTGATTAAGAAGCTATTCAGAAACACTAGAGTGAATAGTAATGAATTATGTTAAGAAGTAAGAAATGCTTTAAAGCAGGAAT